CCCAAACCCAACCCAAACCCAACCCCAACCCCAAACCCAACCCCAAACCCAAACCCAAACCCAAGTGAACTTTAAAATTCCAGGTCTTCTCTTCTTTTAGATCTAATGTTGCTGATCGTTCCGATCATGAGTTGTTTGTTGTTTCTTTCTTTACAGTGCCATCGGTATCCAAGTTTCCTTTAGCCATCTGAAATGGTTGTCTTTCCTTCTGGGATTATCCATATATGATATTTCATTTCTAGAATCTCTTTTCTGAACTCCCCTATATTTTCGCCAACTCCATTCGTAAAACTGCTTTTTCTACCTGCCCCAACAATAATACTATCACTAGATAAGCGGTTACTATTACTACTTACATAAAAACTAATACTATCACTAGATAATTGCTTACTAATACTACTTAAGTAAAAACCAACCGTTTTTTCTATATAAAAAAACATTTTTTCTAAAGCAATTAAAAAATTTTTTTATTGATTTTAGATATCTACATAATAGAATAATATTTTTTTCTACTAACCTCTGTTTTTCTTCATCGTCATAAAAACAAACCCAAAAACTAATTATGTCTAATTTGCCCTTTGAGCTAATGAGTATCATTAACCCTTAACACATTTTTGCAACATAGTTCTATTTAAATTCATGTTCTAATTGACTTATGTCACCAAAATTGGGTTTACTCCCGACTCAACCTTTGGGAAACTTTGCCATCCTAAATATGTATCAGAGAGCAACATAAAGAACATTTGATAGTGAAAAAAAACGGTATTACCAACCCTATTTTTCTTAGCTTTTTATCTTTGAGCTACACTATCATTATTGACATCATGTGTGTGTGAATCTATGAAAATGAATAAAATATTTATTTTTAATATTTATTTCTTAATTTAATTTCTATTAAACAATTAAATAGAATTACGATATTTCCTTTCAATTTGAAATTTATTTTCCTTTAAAATTATAAGAAAATGTCTTTAACTCTTCCAATTACAAACAATTAGCAATATGTAAGCTGTGGGATTAGAATTGGCAGACCAAATTAAATTAATAGGTGTAATTGGAAGTCTCTAATGATAAAGTCATATTTATTGCAAATGTTAAAAGGGATCTAGATAATATGATAAATATTAGACCGCTGTTTCATTAAGCTATATTGGTGGTTACTTCAAATACAGATACAACTTCTATTGATAATAATATGAAATATCATATTGTTGAATACATGAAGCTTGATTAAGGGTAGGGTGAAGTGCTTTGTTATTAGATTAATATAAATATAAGAAACAATCCTAGATATTTGGAAGATTTGAGAGAATTTCAAGATGAACAATATAATTGGAAAGTGATGCAAAATAGTTGGTGGGATAGTAAGAAAAAATTTTAAGTTAATGGCAATATTTTAGTTAGTCACATTAAGAATTTGATGACAATGAATGCCAATTATCAGGGAAATTATCATTTATTTAATAATAACTGCTAAACAGTAGCCTCTGTAACAACTCAATAATTATTCGATTTAATAAACAGAAACTAAAGAGGAATTTGGAATTTAATTAACAGATTTGTTGGGGGTAATATCATTTAACCAATAATTGATATTGTTATGAGAATACCATAACTTTTTATAAAACTTTTAAAAATATTAAAATATGTTGTTAAAGTAATTCCTGGATATTTAAAGGACAAAATTGTAAGATTATCTCAGTTAATTTTTTGAAATGAAAATTTTAGATTCATTTTTAATTATAAATAAAAGAATTGAATGCATATTCATATTCTCTATTAAATGCTTACATGCATTTTCATTATCTAAAATTTTCTAACTTTTAAAAGATAAATAAAATTAGTTTAATTAGTTGATAAATTTCAACCATTTATTGACATAATTTCACAACATTTTTCCTTTATTATGTAAATTATTTTCAATCATTTTTTGCATTTTTTAATGATTTTCCATTAATTAAAATAAAAAGTTTATTGTTGACATCATACGGTAAATTTAAGTTTTTTTCATTTAAGGAAAGACTAAAAAAGGATTAATTAATTTAATTAAGAGAGTAGAACTAAATATTTTAATGTTATATCCAAAAAAATAAGACATTAATTATTGAAGAGTAAAATAAGAAATAGGTTTTGGAAATTTTTTTGGCCAGATGTTACAATAGACCCAAAATTTGATAAGCAATAGAATTTAATTGTTATTGCTAAAAATGCAATTTTGTAATGTGAATTGAAATATTCTCACTTTTTTTAAACGTAGTTAAATGAACAAATTAATTAAAACGATATTGCTGAAGACAATTATAACTCGCAAGCTATGAGATATGAATCATAGTGATGATTTGAAAATTTTTTGATAGTTAATATAATTTATATCATTCTAATATATCTACAGACAACAATGAGTTGGAACCTCTTTTTTTGATTATCATTAAATTGAACAAAAAATAAATTTACAGAACTCACTTAATGTCAATCACTATTTATTTTTTTAATTTTATTATTTGATATTTAAAAATATGTGGAAACTTATTTTAAAATGTTAATCTAATAAATCAAAAGTATTTATAACAATTATTACTCACAACAACTTTTCTTTTTCCCCCAGAAAGCAACCTTTTACTTGAAAAAAATGTTTATTTTGAATTAATAGTTTAAAATAATGAAATGATATAACTTAAGAACTTGCCTTTTTAATGAAATTATTAAATTGATATTTTTTGTGATTATAATGTTAAATAACAATATATGGTGTAAATGAAATCTTTTTTATAACGTTCAAATTATGTTAGATTTACTTAATTAAAATAAGTTAGAGCAGTAGAAATTGAATAGAAAAATTGAAAATAAAATTATATTATAATCAATAATTAACAATAAACAATATTATTTTTGGCATTTGTGAAAATTCACTAATTGAAAATTGATAATCTGGTACAATTGTAACTAATGTTATTCTCTTTCTATCATGAAAGAAGAGTCGAAGTTTTAAATATTTTTAATCTTACAACTTAAAAATTATAATTATTTAAAAGTATTGAAACTTCTTTCAATAGACTCATGAAATTCATCAGTAATAAATAATCTAAACAGGTGATGCCAATAAATTATG